GGTGAAGCCTCTCACCTCCCCTGAGCCTCTGGCCTGCACCCCAGTTCTGTATGCACAAATAAATAAATCTTTAAAAAAAAATTCAAACAGATCATGTATCATGATGGAGACAGAAAACATCTAAAATATAATCTCTGGAGGTGAAACTATTGGTATGATTTCTCTCATAAACAATTTCAGGAAATAAAAGGTAATGGGGGATGTTGACTTTGCCTTATGTGATTGGACAAGTGTCATTAAATTAGACCATGATGATTAAATGAAGTAACCCATAATATCTAGCATACATTAAGAATGCAAATAAATTTCTTCTGTTCTCAGCAAGCAGAGTCATGAGTGATCTGTACCATACGGGTGAGAGGGGTCTTAGGAAAAGGAGACACTAGACCATGACCACAAACAGTAGAAGAGAAGAGGCAGGAGTGGGCAGGGTCCCCTGGTTTTTCCCTATACCCCCAAATGTCTATTCCCTCTTTTCTGTACACACATGAAGCTCAACTCCTTCAGGAAAAAAAAAATCCTCTTAAAGATACTCAACATGCTCCTGTATTATATATCAATTATCAATTTGAGAATCTGCTTTTTTGTTCCTGAGAACACTTCATCACCACCCAGAACCCACACAAAGTCTGGGTGGTGGTTTACCAGTAAGTGCGGAGTAATTCTTGTTCTGGGCAGAGCTCGGATTTGTAGATGGAGACATCAGCTATTTCAGAGAAAGGGAAAACATAAAGATTGGGCAAACCTATGGTGAATCTTTAAGGAAAAATTACTAAATAATTATAAATCTCCATAAGCTTTTTTAAACCATGAAAATGGGAAAAGCTAAGGGAAATTTGGTGTTCATTATTAAATCTAAAGAGACAGGAAATTATGCAAACTAATGGATGAAATATCCTAGAACCTTTACTTAAGCCCTGCATATAAGCTACACTGAAAAGTTATAGTTAAATAACACATAAACACATAAAGGCAAGCCCTAATAAACTTGGGTGTGATATTTGAGGAAGTAAATTAGAGAAATGAAGCTGTGAAGGTGAGGAAGCTGGAAGACTCTGGTGTATGCTGTGACCACAACAAAGCTTTTTCTGGAGTAGTGTTATTACACAGATCTTTCAGTTACATAAAAAATCTCATTACTCTGCCAAAGTCATCTCTTGTAACACTATTAAAATACTATGCTTCACAAACAAGAGGCAGAGTGATTAAATTGTTCATGCTAGGTGATGGGTAAGAGTGCTCATTGTACTATTGTTTTAGTTTATTCAAAAATTTGAAACTTTTCATAATAAAATGTTACAACAAAGTCAAATTCTATCCACCACTCCCTATAACACAGAATCTAACATGGAGAGCAAAGGACATTTAGAGTAGTCAGAGGTATAATCAGATTTTGTGTTCAGTATTTAGAACACCTTTACCATGAAAGAGGCTCCAGCTTCCATTTGCATTGTATGTAAAATAGCCCATTATCACTAACAACCATGGTGTAGCTCCAAGAACTTTTGAAACAAGATGAATATTGAACACTGAGTGTCATGGCATGTATGGTCCTTGCAGTACAAAGACGATGCCACAGACTCATCTTCAGCTCAGAGTCTGGCACTTTGAATTGTCTTCCAGGAGCGATGATTTCCTAACACCTGTGGCTGAGCTAGGCCTTGTACAGGAGAAATGGACAGATGCCATCCTGATGGAGCTAAAACTCCCACGTCAGCCTCAGCACACAGAGTTTCACTCTATTATCTGGTGTTTACAAAGGAGAGATGCACCAAACACCCTATGGGTAAGGATCTGTCCTGATTTCCTCCTTGGGTCCTCTCTATTGGGTCAGGGGTGCAGATTGTACTCATGGACTATAGTAACTGGCCCACTGGACTGGCCTGAGATATCAGAGCCATGATTCTCTGATAAGTGATTCTGTAAAATTTTTAGAGATCTGGTGCCAGATGTCACCAGCACAAGAGCATGAAACTCCACCCCCGGCCCAGTGGACTCTGGCACTTAAACATGCCTAAGGAAATCTGGAGAAAAGAGAAGAAAGATATCACCTTATTTATTCATGTAGCCCCTCACAGCATCAAGCTCATCACAACGACATTAGAAGAATATTTGTTGAACTAATTTGATTTGATCCTTTACCTCTTTCAATCAGGTTCAAAAGAGAATCCCCATAGCATGGAAAGTTCTATGACACTGGGTTACACTAAAAAGAAAAGAGGGAAAAGTGAGAGCAACACTGTCTTCCTGAACATGGATTTCTGGTCCTCAGTTCAACCAGGAAGAGAGAGGCTGACTTCCTGGGCTCTGTGTTCAAAGTGGGATCATTTAAAATAAGGGCTTGTGAAAATGGAATGGTCCCTTTAAGGAAGTACTTCTCAGTCACAGGCAACTCTGATTGTCTGGAGATATTTTCCATTGTCACAATGGGCAGGTGATGCTACTGACAGCCTGCACTGAGATCCTGCTAAAGACACAGGTCAGATACTAGAATGAAGAATTAGCTAAGAGGCCAACAGGGCTGCTGCCTGGTAACCCTGTAGAGTTTGAGAGTCAGTTCGCAGGCCAAAGACAACATTCTTAATTCCTTGGGGAAAAAAACGAATGCTTTGAATATTAATTAGGTTTGCATCAGAGACGGTAGATGATTTCAGGCCACTCTTGCATTAAGACTCTTTTTAAAAATGCAAACAAGGATCAGTTACAAATCACTTTGAAGTAGGAAGAATAGCACTTAATCAGAAAACAAATACTGTGAAGTGTCAAGGTGGAAAAAGGACCCAGTTCTTACTCTGCATCTGACCAGTGCTATCCAGTAGAAATGCAAGTCATACATGCAGCCTCCACTTGTAACTTTAAAATTTCAGTTACATAAAATAGTAAAAGTAATAGATTTTGTTTTGCTTCGCTTATCCAAAATATGGTCATTTTAATATGGTGTACTAATTTAAAAAAATTAGTAATGAACTATTTTACACTTTTTTATACTGTTTTTAAACTCAAGTGTGTACTGTACAGGTAAGCACCTCTCCACTTGGGTTAGTCACATTTCAAGTTCCCAGTAGACATATATGGCTGCTAGCTGCTGATTGGCACAGCATAGACCTAGATCTGTGATAGGAATCACCAGAGTCTCATGAAAAATGTAGCATCTGGGCATTTTGCCCCAATTTTGGCTCAGCCTATCTGGATTGGGAACCAGGGATCTATATTTCTAACATTTATACATTAAAGTCCATAGGTTGAGACACAAGGACTTATTCTAAACCACAAATTTGCTTGAGAGATAAGTCCCTTTCAGTCACTCAGAATTTAGCCTGAAACCATGTTACACAATATTTGTTTCAAGAGCTAAGAAGCATCACAGCTAAAGAAGCTGTAAGAAAACAGTTGCTTTGTTTTCTAAAGAAGAAACAAAGTATTTCTCCCATAAGACAACCTTGAATGTCATTGTACCATGCTTAGGAAAATGAAATTTTCCTTTAGCATTTACTACTGGGCTATTTCTGCACTTATTTTTTGAAAATGTAATCACCTATAGGTACTGCTTTCCTGTTTTTCAGCAGTTTTACTTCTGTAACCATCTGCAAGTGTACTGGAAGGACTCTGTGTACTGCCACATGATACTCTGAAACAGGAAGTAATGACCTGGTGACTCAAAAGATGCCACGGAACCTACTCAGCTACTAGAATTCCTTCTGATTTTCTGAACCTATGAGCAAACTGTTACTGTGTCATCACCTCTGCTGTCTGTTTTCTCACCTTCAATGTCAACTTGGTAATACGGAAACACATAATGCAAAACTGCTCTTCTAAGGGAATGTGAAGAGATGTGCTAAGAATGGGGATGGTTTTGCAGCTCTGGATCATCTCACCTGTACCCATCATCAAGGCCACTTTGCTCACAAGGAAAGGATATTCGAGAGAAAGTCCAGGTACATCTGATTTGTGGGTATGCTTTAAACCTGACAGAAAAACAAAACGCTTCATTCTGATCAATTTCATAATCTTCACTTGATTTGGAAGCATTGATAAATCCCTTTTCTGTTAAAAAAAACATTTATAAATTAGATAATTAGATTCATATGGAAATATATATGTATTGATAAGGCACATTTTTATCCACCATTCTGATTAAAGAAACTCAGATGTGGGCATGAAGCAAGTCATATTTGATAGCCCAACAAGAAGAATATAGCCCCAATTATATGTCTGAGCTCAACACCTTCGGAAGTCAAGATTCCTTTTAGGAATTGGGTATAAATGATGGACCATCTTCATGGTGAAATGTGTAAATAAATCTACAGATCTTGCAGATGATTGCAAGAAGTTGAAGTCAAATTCCCGCATGACTAATTATGAAGACACTAGGCAGGAGTCCACTGACAGTGTAGGTTCTCAGTGACACTTTGCAAATAAAATAACCTTCAGGCCACACACCAGAAAACAATGTAGCCAGCAATGTTCACAAAGTTTCCTTTGGCACACTTCCTTATTAATCCGATAAAGAGATTCACCTCATTCCTTAGCATTTTCATTATGGCTGAAAGCTACTGCCTTCTCTGAATTACTTCAATGTGGTTATTTTCAAATCTAGCTCCCTCTACCCTACCCCCCCACCCCAATTCCATTTACTTGTCCAAATCTCTGCCCACTGCCATCTCAATTGTTAGAACACGTACTTATTAAATGTCTATTTTGAAAAAAGAGAAACACATGTCTTTTGCAGCAACTTGGATGGAGCTGGAAAAGATCATGCTTAGTGAGATAAGCCAGAAAGAGAAAGAAAAATACC